ATGAGAATTAGTAATGAGATCATTTTGCCATAAAAGTCATGCGAATGCCGCCAATTTTCCAACAGGAAATGGATTGTATGTTGTCCGAACATGTAATGGCCTTGCATGCTGGGAAAAAGAGGTAAATCATTCCCTTTTTTTGATTTTATGCCGATAATTTCTAGGATGTTTGACTGAAAAAAGTGCTTAACTGCTGTTTTGAAATTTAAGAGTGAGTAGCGACGGGTTTTTTGTTTGTTTGTTTTTTCACCCCCCTGTTCTAATGTGTGGGAGACAAGGCAAAGAGCTTGGTTGTGAAATCGGCAAGTCCCCAAAGAATGCTAAAAGTAGGGTCATTTCCTTTAGAAATTCAAACCTCAACAGTAAGCAAAGGTTTGATATGGCTATCATCTCAATAACGTGGAGTTCCGTCGTTAATGGATATGTTTTCTCAATCCGAATCCGACATCTCCCGTTATACCATCTGGTGCCCAAGCAATCGAGGCAACCAGGTTACGGTTCCAGGTTTTATAGATAGAGTAGAACAGTCTGTAATAAGGCTTCATGATTCTTGATCTTTCTAGTGCATTTGGGATGGTAACAGCAAGACGGCGTTCAAGAGAGGTACAGAGATATTTAATACGAGGTTAATTAGCAAATCGAGAGTGGTTTAGCGTAGTCTGTACTTTTATCGACAACGATATTAGTCATCACAGTGGTCAAAATGTTGTGGACTCGCGAGGCGCAGCCGAGTCTGGGAGGGGTCTGCTAAAAGAAACAAAAACACGCTTTGGATAAAATACCCAAATTAACAGACAAAACGACTAAAACAACCCTCCCATGATTTTAAAAGGAGGACCAAATGATTTTCACAGCAATTTGTTCCTTAGGGAAAAAAAAAAGTTACCTCTTGTAGTTTTGCCCTCCGGTCTGACCTCTTTCTCATTATAGGCATAGAATGAATCTGTTAAATATGGTGTACTTATTACGATAAAGTTGCCCATTTGTAGCTGTTTATTATTTGCTTACGGCCACAGGACAGTAGCAGCGATGAGGACGAGATGAGAAGACAATGGGAAGCCGATAAACCCCTCTCTGAACGTTTAAAGGTAAATTTAGCCCATTACCAGGTGTATATGTCCNGTAAATATTCCATTTAGCCGTAATCTGAACAGCGAACAATAATATTTTAGAACTGCTTTATTCTGAACCGTAAGAAATTTATAGTTTAGCCGAAAGTCGCGATTAAAATTTTAGGCATGTGCTACACCTTGGTTTACCCTGAGACTCAATTCATAGGGTCTTTGAACATTGTACTAAAAGGCACGCAAAAACTGGCTTGGGTAATTCAGTTTGCGCTTCACACAAACTCTCCGAAGTTGAACAAGATTTGGTTGAAATATGTGACATTTGAAATACTTTGTGTGGGTCTGGATCATAACCTTTATCTCTTACTTCAGGCATAGCATAAAGGTTCTTCACTCTGTGGATCACGAAACAAATAAATTTCATCGTATGTTTCAAACCGGTTTATTAAGCTTAAGTTAAGAAAACCTTCACCTTATAGTTATGCTTACCTTTCGTAAAGGACTTTTTTCTTACTGCCTTGGTTTACTCCCCTACATTTTAACCAGAATTTTAACTGGTGTACAGTTAAATTACAGATTTCTAATTCTTTGAACGAAGCTCCCGGTATATCTTCGGGTGTCAATTTGACATTCTCAATATTTAATTGCTCCATCTTAAAACTTTTTCGAGAGCGATTGTTTATAGAGTTTGTATTTATCGGCAGGTGACGCGAAGACCGAAGGGCCCTTAGGCCTCGTTTCCATGCGACTTCCGGTTTTTTTCCTGAATTGGCGTATTGCGTCAATCGCGGTCTAAGTGAGGATCAATAGCCCATTTCCGAATTACCTTTAGCCTCCTTTTCGAAGTGAGTCCTGGTGCTCATCCTTCCATGCGATGATAAGTTCTCATTCACATGCAAATTAAACTCTTTCGCAAGAATGGTTGAACACTAACTAGGCCTCGTTTTGAAAAAGAGGCCAAAAGTAATTGGTCTATTGCTTGCTGACCTTGGTGTGTGCTTGGTCTTTAGAATTTTTATTTGGACTTAAGACAACAGCATCACAGTGCAGATAATACCCCTATCACTACACGGCAACTTGAGTCACTCATTAGACTCACTCAGGTACCAACATGTGGCGTTAATTTCTTCCTAAAGTATAACTACTGAATCAAACATAAACTCTTTAACTCCCAAGATCTGATTGTTAATTCTCTCCTGTAGCTGCTACACATTTCCTTGTAAATTTTTTACGAGAATTTGGTATTCAATCAAGGGAACAACTTCTA